CACGTGACTCTGCATGCTTAACGGCACGATTATCTGCGGCTCACGGTCTGAAATGGTCTGTCGGTACACGAGGCCATCACGAACAAACAGGCTGTCTCTATCACGCATATAGAACGCACCGACGTCACCAAGTCTCGCATCGTTCGTGCTCCCAGTCCGTAGACAGTCCATGACAACTGACAGCACCGGGTCCTCCCGCGTCGCCGGCTGCAGCTCTGGCAGGCTGAGCCGGCTAGACGTCGCCTCCGCCCCGACAGCAGCTTCGTCAGCCGCCGAGCTTTTCAGCTCCACAGCTCGGACCGTCGCCGGCACGTCACCTTCGGCCAGCTCACACGAGTCACCATTTGGCACGCAGCCAACACTGACACTGGACAGTCCTTGTTTTGGCACACAGCCAGCACGGTCACCAGACAGTCCCTGTTTTGGCACACAGCCAGCATCACCAGACAGTCCTTGTTTTGGCACACAGCCAGCACTGTCACCATCACCACAGTCTCTGGACAGTGCGTCCGCGTGGGGAATCGCAGTCCCCGGTCGGTGAACCACCGTAAAGTCATACTGGGACAACTCCATGACCCAGCGAGCCAGCCGACCAGACGGATCCTTTAGGCTCCAGAGCCACTTGAGCGCCTGGTGGTCCGTCACGACGACGAACTCAGTCCCGAGGACGTACCATCGGAACCTGGTCACGGCCCGAATCACAGCGAGCAGCTCGTGCTCAGTCGTCGTGTAGCGCGACTGACAGTCCGTCCATTTTCCCGAAGCGAAGGCGACTGCATACTCGCCATCACCATCACACTGGCTCAGAGTCGCGCCCCAGCCGCGCGAGCACGCATCGGTCGTGATCCGAAACGGCTGCTCCGGGTCCGGCGGCCGGACCACAGGGAAGGCAGCCACCGCCTTCCGGAGATCCTGGAAGCTCCGCTCTGCTGCCTCCGTTCACTCGAACGAGTGCCGGCGAGTCAGATCAGTCAGACCCACCGCACGCACACTGAAGTGAGGAATCAGGTGACGGAAGTAGCCCGCCATCCCCACGAATCGCAGCACCTCCTTCACGCTGCTCGGCCTCTTGTAGGCCGTGATCGCAGCCACGTTGTCGTACGCCGGCCGGATACACCCCTCAGAGATCACGTGAGACAGAAACGTGACCTCAGACTGTGCGAAGCGGCACTTCTGGGGGTTCAGGCGGATCCCGCTCCGCTCGAGCCGCTCGAACACCTCCCTCAGAACAGCGACATGCTGCTCTAGAGTCTCCGTGAAGATGAGTACGTCGTCCAAATACACGACCACTGACTGGTGCAGCAGGTCCTTCAGCACCGTCGTCATCATCCGCTGGTACGTTGCCGGTCCATTGCACATACCAAAGGCCAGGACTTGGTAGCAGAATTGCCCCTGATCGGTGACGAAGGCTGTCTTCTCTTGTGCCGATTCGTCCAGTTTCACTTGCCAGTACGCAGCCTTCTGATCGAGCTGCGAGAAGACACGGCATTTGGGACCGATCGACGCCAGCAGCGACTCTATCCTAGGTAGAGGAAAAGAGTCTTTCACGGTGCAGCGGTTCAGCTCCCTGAAGTCAGTACATACTCGAAAGCTCTTGCTTCCCTTCTTCTTTACAAGAAGCACCGGGCTCGCGTACGGGCTGGCACACTCCCGTATCACGCCCATTGACAGCATGTCCGCGATCTGCTGGTTGGCAGTCTCTCGCAGAGCCGGCGGAATCGGGTACGGCTTCTTTTTCCGCGGCTCCTCCATCAGCTCTATGCGATGTTCGACAGCTGTGACTCGTCCGAGCTGCCCTGGCGAGCTGAACACGTCCGACTGGTCCAGCACCGCTTTCAGCTTCTCCTGATCCACTGTTGACAGGTGAGACAGGTCAGCCTGTGTCTTCACCTGGTCCAGGAACGGCATCACCTCCTCGTCCAGACTGTCCTCGAAGTCCTCCACCGCACCATCTGTCACCACACACCGGCACACGGTGGCGGCCGGCTCTCTAACCTCCTGTCCAAAACATGAGAGCACACCGGTACTGAAGTTGACAGCCACTTCAGCCGCCTTTAGAAAGTCTGTGCCGAGTAGCACACAGTCACTGCACTCGGCGACCAGGACCTCCATGGTCACCTCACCTGCAGTGCCCGGCACATGCAGAACCACATCTGCAGCTCCGTGAACATGGAGACTTTCCTGTCCAGCTCCCACCACAGCCTTTCGGCTGTGTCGCAGCTGCAGCTGACACCTGTCGGCCGTCGATCGCGACAGAAGCGTCCGCTCGCTGCCGCTGTCCACGACTGCATCCTGCACTAGCCGTCCATTCACCGTCACGTCCAGCTTCAACGTCGAACCGACAACCACTCGCCTGTTGGCCGTCACAGCTCCTGGTCCTGCACCACTGGTGCCAGCACCACCACTGGTGCCACCACTGGCACTCCCCATGGCACCACCTCGGTTACCACCACTGGCACAGTATCGACTGATGTGCCCCACACCTCCGCACTTATAGCACTTGATGCCCTTCGAGCCGCCTGACCGGCTCCCTCCTTTGCACTGTTTGGCAATATGTCCCATCTGGCCACACGAATAACACTTTCGACTCACAGATCTTCCAGTCTCCTGGCAGCGCCTCGCTGCTGACCTCTGCTTGCCATGGAGCAGAGTCATGTGAGTCACCAGCTGGTCCAGCGAGGACAGGTCGCCCTCTCCCAGCTTGTGCGACCAGACCTCTGGCGCACCCTTAATCGCCTGTACGATGGTCATGCGGTCCAGAGACTCGGCTGTCAGCTCTGGCATGACCTGCTGAATCTGACTCTTCAGCGCCTCTACGTACTCCCGCGGAGTCTCGCCTGGCTGCAGACGACGCTGGTCCAGCCCTTGAAGGATCTGCCCCTTCATCACCTCCGGCGTCAGGAGATGCAGCACCTTTTGTTCAGCAGCACTGACTGTAGCATCCCGTTCAGCAGCCTGTACTTCTGCCTCAACCCGGTCGGCCACCCAGGCCGCCCGCCTGCACGAGCCAAGGGCATAACAGATCAAGTCCAGGGCCACCACGCCCGACAGGTTTTTCAAGCTCGCATAACGCCGAAACTGCTTGAAGAAACGCCGTGGTTCGGCGTACTCGAACACGGGGAGGGGCAGGCTCAGTGCCCCAGTCGCCCCGGCACTCGTGTCCACCGAGTTATCCATCACCGGTCCCGTATCACACAGATTATCCGTCCGGTATCCGTTCACTCAGTTTGTTTACATCATCACACTGGGCGCCGCCATGACACACCTGACCGGTGGCGCCACCCGCGGAATAGTCCCGAAGCTTCCCTGTGACGTCACGTCCGGCTAACGCTCTTCCCGCTGCCGGCTGACGCCATCTTCGATGATCTTCGGCACACTGATCGGTTTCGCTCACGCCGACTGCGGCACGCGGCGCCGGTTATAATCCCACCGCTGAATGTTACGATTACTTGAACTTTATTGAACTTAATTTAAACACGAAGGTAGCACTGTAACCGCTTACTAATGCTCAAAACTCTCGGCCACACAAGCCGGCCGCCCGCCGCCACACAGGTCCGTCGCGAGAGGACAAACAGCGCCTCTGGCGGCCGGCCGACAAATTACGATCAGCTGATCGACAAAACTGGGTCACCGGATCGGCGCGCGACGGCCGATCGTCAACAGCGGCAGCTGATCCACAACACAAGGTTCGATGCGTCACTTTTGCAATGTTGACCTTGCGCGACGTCATTTATGACGTTATAAGGGTCATATTAGTTTTTCGTCAATAACTACCGATCGAATTGAGCTAGCGAGTCGGGAAAGCCACCAATGGACTCAGGAAGACCTTCCGAATCGAAGGATATGAGACAAGACCTCATTCGACCAATTTCGTGACCTGAGGGCGCTGACCTGACCGTGACCCGAGGTCAACACTCTAAGTTTACCTCACCCAAACAAAAAGTATATCATTCGACGCGCCTGAGAGAGGCTAACACGATGCTGGCAAAATCGCGGCTCTGTGGCCGTTTTTTGCGAAGTTATTCACCAAAAATGGAACTGTGCCTTGAGGCACTTGACTTGACCTCAGGTCAACGGTTGACCTAGGACCTTAAAATCGGGTATCGATCTCTGCGTCTCGTAACGGCGCACAAGCTCGTTTTTTCCGCGACGCGCTAGCTCCACCTGGGGCGAAACGGCGAGGGGGGTCGTACCTGCTCCCCGCCCCCTCGGCTGGCGCGTATGTAGAAAACTTATAGGTCCGGGCCGGCGAGTGTTAAACGGCCTCTGGAGCCCAGACCGGCCTCTAAAAGTCCCACACCGGCCTCTGACAGTAAATCAGCCCAGTTGCAGTGGTCGCTAATATAAAACCTCTTAAAAACGTTACAGGCCTGGCTGAGCCTAGCTGGGCCATTCATGCTGATTTTTGTAGGTATATTGAAAAGACTCGCTTTGCACATTTCACGCTTGCTCTTAATGAAAAAGCTGCTGGATGCCTCTGGAATTTGCATGGGTGCCAACGGCTGCGGAGGACAGGGGAACGCGTCAATCAGTTTGAGTTTATGGACGGGTCTCTCCCTGAAATTTACCTACTTTTATTTTTGGTTTTGTCTCGATTTTTTTTTTACCTCTGAGCATGTTTGCGAAAACAAAGTGGCCGAAATCCGAGGAGAAATTGGATTTTGGGGGTAGGTTGGGTTTTAGACCTCTGGGAGCCTGGCCCCCCCACTTTCGCAAACGTTCCTACGCCTATGCCAGCGTGTTCGGAGCTATCGCGAAAAAACCCTATGAGGGGGGGGCGGCACCCGCCCCCCCCCCCCTCAGCGGCGAGGGTTAAGCTCAATTTGTCTGTTAGGATGCCAGGAATAAGTCAATCTTCTGCATATCTCAATTCTCATCTTAAAAGTTCTCGCCCTTGGTCGTCTCGTCGGTCTCGCCCAAGATTCGTTTCCTATGTTCGTTTCACTTTCAAGCTTAGTTTGGTTTTATGACGTCATAAGTTAATACATCTCTGAAAGAATAGAAGCACTTCTAGTTTTTCGTTCCTTGGTTTTCTTCAGTGTTTTGTTTTTCTCAAGTTTCCGGTGCGTTTCGGATCGTGTAACCCCTACTGGTTCGTATTGGCTCGTATTTTATTTGTTGAATCCACTGACATTCATCATATATGGGCGGTGAATGTCAAAGAGGGTGGGCTGATGTAGATTTTGTATGTTTGGTGCCTCCTATATGATATTGATGTTGCATAATTGGATCAGGATAGAATAGAAGTTAGAAGGCTTGCGATGAAGCTAAACCGATTCCGGAACAAATCGCACTCGCATTATCTTTCAAGACAGATTTTTCTGTGGTTGTTTTACCAGACTACACGAAATCGATAAAATCATAAGCTTATCATCCTACCTAACCCACGACTACAATCTAACACAAATTGTAGCCTTAGTTTGATCCATTGCGGAAAAGCGCAAGGCATGGTAGAGGTCGGTAGGTAAGTAGGTATTATTACAGAGGTAAGTATGTAGGTATCTAGTTTGTCAGCTAAGAACAGTTGCATCATGCATGGTTAGATTCAAAACAAAAAAGAATATGACAGTTGCATGGTTAACAGTGTAAGCTGCAAAGTTCAAGCTATGATTATTTACTGCCTTTTTAAAGTTTCAGTGCCCTGACCTATCAAGCAAGGTTTAGATTAGCAATTTCAGTCAACAAGTTCCTGAAGCTTAGAAGGGTGTATTCTTCCATTTCATGTTCTTATTTTGCCCATTTGTCCAGTTTTCTGAGGGTGCAACTCACCTGTTCAACTCACCTGTTGGGCAAAAAGAGGAACTTACCAAGTTTCTACTTAAAGTTCTTTTTTTAAGCCTGCTTAATTGTTAAAAGTGCTCTAACAAAAAGTACCTACATGTGAAACCTCCATAGCTAATAGCTATAGCACTGGCCAGCTGAAAAGTTTATCTTAATCTTGATTTTTCTTTTGACTCCATATTCGTTGCAATAGCTCAACTCATGCATTACCGTAAAATGGGGTGTTAAGGGACAGTGGGGTGTTAAGGGACAGCTGCAAGGGAAAAACTTTGGTATTTATATACATACGGTCCGATCAACAAGGTGATTATAAAAACCACACCACTCGATGAATTTTGAGCTCCTGATTCCATATCTGATAGTTATTCATGGCGCAACCAAGTTTTAAAGCAACTGCGCAATATTTACCGTCGCCGCCGGCCACCATCCCACGACACCCGCCGTCAACGCACTCCACCAGCCGTTTGCGCCACGTGAGATGGATCGAATGAATAAACTCCAAGGTTGAGTGAAAACATTACGCTATTCAATCTCATTATGAAAGTGACGTCATGAAAATGATCGTGGCGAAGCGGTGCAGTGCCGAAGGCAATGCCTTAGGAGAGATTACAGGCAATGGTAAGTCAAATATTTTTAGGTTAAGTGGTTGTGTATCTGGCCTCAGGCCGAAGGCCTGAGGCCTGATGCACAACCACTTAACCTAAAAATATTTGACTTACCATTGCTTGCAATCTATTCATGCGAGCCACTGTTTCCTTATCCCCGGGTAGGCAAAAATCAGTAGGTCAGGTTAGGTCAGGTTAGATTAGGTTGTGACAATTTTTGTCGTGTTTTTTCCTATCCTACCCAACAAAACTCCAATTTTTTAAAACATTTTTTTTCGTGTTTTGTTATTTTGACGTCACTTTCATCAAACAATTTAAATAGAGAAGAAGTAATGCTTTTTACATTTAAATTGCTTTTTGATGATTTATTTTCATTTTTTATGTTCAAATAATATAATTATGATATCTTTTCTATCAAATATGCCTAATAGCTATGACCTTACGTAAACTTCTTTCCATTCGTACCTGCAATTTAGAGCAGAAACTTCCGTTTCCGTTTGAGCAAACTGGTTTGAACCAGTTTTAGCAGGTGCTTTCCGGTGCTTTCCGCTTTCCCGCCAGTCTGTTAGTTGGATCATGGCTTCCGTGCCGGGTGGTTCGTTGTGCTCCGGGTGCAAGTGGGAGGAATACGAACTAGTTTCAGTTGCGTACCGCAACGAGGAACGCGTCCAGCGTATTTTTCGAAACCACGGTGAACTAGCTTAGAGGTAAGTAAATTTCATCTGTCCGATCCACTTTTCAAGCATAAATTTTGCATATTCTTACGTTATTTGACATCCTGAATGTAGATAAGATGCTTACATGCGACGTAAAACAGTTCTACCATATAAAAAATATTTGCTACCGTATTTGGGGAAATGTTGGGAACCGGGGTTTTTGGGTCGGGGAGGGAATACAATGCCGTAAGAATGGTCATGAAAGTTGGAGAAAACTGTTGGGAACCGGGGTTTCTCTCCCCACCCATAAACCCCGATTCCCCCTCCCCCACCCAAAAACCCCGGTTCCCAACAGTTTCCCCCAACTTTCATAACCATTCTTACGGCATTGTATTTCCTCCCCCACCCAAAAACCCCGGTTCCCAACATTTCCCCAAATATGGTAGCAAATATTTTTAATATGGTAGCACTGTTTTCCGCCGCATGTAAGCATCATATCCACATTCAGGATGTCAAATAACGTAAGAATATGCAAAATTTATGCTTGAAATATGGATCGGACTTTATGTAAATATTTACCAAAACTTTGAGTCATATTAACTTTCTAATTTGAGAAGGTTCAATAAAAACTTCAGTGTGGTAGTTGACACTGTTTTGCTCTTGACCATAGGACAAAATGGTATGGTTTTTCATGCAAGTGATTTGGTTCAAAAATGGATTTGAAAATCATGCTACATTTTCACAAAATTGAAACATCTCCAAAACTCTGTGTGTACCACATAAACTAGTGGGTGTACAGGGAAAATGAATGCATAGGTGTATTGTTACATGTATTGCACATGTTTCCTGAAAAACTTGTGCAAATCCACCCATTCATTCATCATCCTCTTCCTCTTTTCCGGATACATGCATATTTTGAGGTGGATGTGGGGTGCTAAGGGACAGGGAAGAAAAAATAAAAAATAATATCTAAATATAATTTCATTAAGTTTTCTTTCAGTAGGCATGGAAAACACCACATTCCACATAAAATGCTGGCAAGTTCATGCTTTTATCTCTAACACATCTTAACCCTCGCCGGACCTATTGGTTTTCTACATACGCGCCGGCCGAGGGGGGGGGGGGGCGGGTACGACCCCCCCCCTCGCCGTTTCGCTCCTGGTGGAGCTAGCGCGTCGCGGAAAAAACGAGCGTGTGCGCCGTTACGAGACGCAGAGATTGGTACCCGATTTTAAGGTCCTAGGTCAACCGGTGACCTCTGAGGTCAGGTCAAGTGCCCCAAGGTACGGTTCAGTTTTTGGTGAATAACTTCGCAAAAAACGGCCGCAGAGCGCCGATTTTGGCAGCATCGTGTTCGTCTCGCTCAGGCGCGTCGAATGATATACTTTTTGTCCGGGTCAGGTCAACTTGGGGTGTTGACCTCAGGTCAAGGTCAGGTCAGCACCCCCAGGTCACGAAGTTGGTCGAAAGAGGTCATGTCGCATATCATTCGATTCGGCAGGTCTTCCTGAGTCCATTGGTGGCTTTCCCGACTCGCTAGCTCAATTTGATCAAGAGTTATTGACGAAAAACTAATATGACCTTGATGACGTCATAAATGACGTCACGCAAGGTCAACATTGCAAAAGTGACGCATCTAACCTTGCAAGGAGTGCATAAAATCACGATTCTGTGTGCTTGAGATAGTTGGAGATCGTTCCCGGCGCCAGAATAGCAGTTTTCATTTTTCCCCATTGACTTATAATGGGGAGGTCACGAAAATGACCTGACCTCATATGACCTTTAGGAAAAATCCGAGATATACAAGTTGTGGGACTCATAATGGATACTAGATCCTGCAAGTTTCATTTCCCTGTGACATCTCCACTGGCAGTGAGGGCGTTGCGAAGTTGCGACATCTGAAGACCGTGCAGAGGTTCACTTATGACGTCATAGGTCAGTGACCTGACCTGACCCAAAATTGCGGTTGGTGTCAAAAGATGCGGCTTGGATCAAAGGTCAGGTATGCCAAGTTTCAGCTCTCTGTCGCCAGCGTGTTCGGAGCTATCGCGAAAAAACCCTATGGGGGGGGGGGCGGCACCCGCCCCCCCTTCGGCCGGCGAGGGTTAAGTTATGTAACAAAACATCTCAACACTCTCTTTTACAATGATGGGTCAATGGAGACTGATGTAGGTAAATGTGATGTCATCATAAAAAGGCTATAACAAAGAGGGCAACATAATGACAAGTGACTAGCTTCAACATGGGTTTTTACTGATGACAGAAGATTACTTTTTGGTTCTGTTTACCTTATAATTAGCACATTTTCCACAAGCGTTAACTGCATTACACGTAATTGGCTAAAAAGGTCATTAGTGGTGAATGAACCTGACTTGTTTTGTGACAGAATATGCAGAACATTTCAATAAATAAATTATGTGCCCTTCCACACCCCAATTGTGGGCATTTCATGACCATTTCTTGGAATAATATAGGTGTCCCTTAACACCCCACATTGGGGTGCTAAGGGACAGTGATGAAAAATAATAAAAAATAATATGCAGGTATAAATCTTAAAAACTTTAATGTGGCAGGCATGTAAAGCACCGAATTCCACATAAAGTACTGACAATTTGATGCTTTTATCTCCAACCCTTCTTGAGTTATATAACAAAACACCTCAAAACTGTCCCTTAACACCCCGTTTTACGGTACTTATTTGTGCACTTAAAGTGATCACACAAATTTAAAAAATCCTTCTAGGTATAGTCAACGTTTGCTTATTTTGAGATCATCTTGTGCAGATTGATAGGAATGTTCCACTTCAAAATTGCATCAGCATTGGGTTTATGATATTGCACTTATTGAAATTTTTTGAATGGCATGAAATGTTTCTTTTGCATGATTATGAATACACTTTCTGTTAAAATGAACATTAACCTTTTGCTCATAATTAAAGGAAGTTATGAGCAAAAGGTTGTTATTTATTCTTACTAGAAGTATTGTTACTGTAAGGCTGACATTACCAATCATTTTTACTGGTAATTTGCAAGACTGGCAAGATAAACTCACCATTAATCCATATTTTATGATTCATGTTATCTATGGTTCAACACATATCCCATTATGCTTGCAAACCATTACCATTAGTATAAATTGTCAGTTAAGGTATAAATTGCAGTCAAATAACTTAAGAGATGGAACTGTCCAAAAGTAGGTACATCAAATGTAAATGGATTGAAAAGGATTGTAAGAGCTCAATATGTCTTAAATTTCTTTTTTATGGGGATCGTACTTCTCATTGGGTATTACAATTTTCAATTGACAATTTCCACTGAGGACATGGGTGGATCCCAGATTAGGATGCCTAGGTACCTACCTAACCTAATTAATCAAGGTTTACACTGAGCATGCAAGCAACTTCAACTGTTTCTGGCAAACCTCACAAAACAATTTTTTGAGTTATTGACATGAACTGCCTATGACATCTAAATGTGTCCAATGCTTAACAAATTTGCATGGAATGTGATTTCTTAGTTTCTGTCATGAACAGCTTGTGATAATGCTTTATGAACTTATAAACTGATGACCTTTCAGATGCTTATTGCAAATCCTGTGACGCAGATGCAAGCTGAGCTGATCTAAGTCAAGTTTCAGAATTGTCCTGGAACCTCACTATCTCAATTCTTCTTTTAAGTCCTTGGTGAGTAGCAATGTTCAGCTGTTGAAAGTTGTGTGCAGAGCTAAATTATGTACAATAAGATGAACCTATGATTCTTGTTATTATTCAACAATATAAAAGCACAACATTTCTCATAAACATTTCTGGACATAACATGTAAGCTGGTATTTAATCAATTTAACCCTCGCCTGTGTTAGTGTTTTGCAGCTGCTAATAAATAGGGGGAGGTGGAGGTTCATTGGACCCTCCTTGCCGTTCGACCCCTGATCGAGCTAGAGCTTCGCAAAAAGAACGAGTGTGTTACCCGTGACGAGAGGAAGCCGATGATGCCTAATTTTGAGGTCATAGGTCATTGGTTGACCTTCCAGGGTCAATCACTCAAAAGTCGGAAAATTGGGACTGCTAGAGCTCCGTAAAGTGAGGTTGTTATGTTTTTCGGCGTGCTGATCTGATCACGAAAATTATGTGAGTTTTGATCACAAATGATGTCTTCATGTATTTAGGCCTGGTCGGGTCAGGTCAGGTCAGGTTAATCAGTAAGCATCGTGCCGGCTATTCCTAGTAGGTGTCAAGTGTCAACTACCACTGACAGCTTCGTAACATGTTATGAATGCATCAAAACTACCTCATATTGTTCAAATGGGTGATGATTTTAAAATCAGCTCCAAAAACTACCTTAGAAACATGTAAGGCTCGAAAAAGTGAGCCAAGGTCATCAAAGGTCAATGACCTTGACCTGACCTTCACGTGACCTTGCCGCCCACCATAATGCATAGGACCAACATCATACATATGTTTGAAGGTTTACAACAACAACAAAGGAAACGCACGGATAACGTGAGCCGACATACGCCGAATCACGATTCCGGCCAAACATGGTCTCGAAAAATAGTTCACAGGCAGTCATTGGGGTCAGGGGCAAGAAATTTTTAGGGTAGTCATAAAATTGATGAACTCGAGGGTAATGGAAGTTTTGTCGAGATTGGCCGCTTTTTGCTCGAGCTGCTCGGGAAAAACCTGGAGGGGAGGGGGGTCCGTTCGACCCTCCCCCATAGGTGCTCGGATTAAGGCGAACATTTTTAGTTCAGAGCTGGCAATAATGATCTATGTAAGTGTAGTCCTCATATTGTGCCTAAAAACCAAAATACCACTATTAAAGGAAAGTTATATTTAACCAAAGGGGAAATTTGATTAAGATAACTGATATTGATTGTGATTTTGCTTTTGGTGCAAAAATCTTAGAACTTATCATTCATTGTTACGTTGAGGACCCTACCTTTACTCATAATCAATGCCACAAACCTTTTGACTCAATGTGCAGGAGAACTTCCCCTCTTTTAAAGCCTTCCCCATGAGGGACGAGTTCAGCTTGCCTCTTCCCACACCATAGCATGGAATGAATCTGATGTTGACTGTGACCCTCATGCAGAGCCTTCGGGATCAAGGTCAGGAGGGGACGATGCCTCGGGGCAGGAAGCGGCCGGAGGAGGCGCAGGAGGCGCTGATGCGGCCGGTCACCAAGAGGCACCGCTCCAACCCCTACCACCAGTGGAGGTCAGTACGTGGGCTCAGCTGGGTGGCGATTGTCGAGTCTGTGTATGCATTTATCCTTTTTCGTGAATTAATTTCCACCATGCTGCTCAGATGGAAGAGTATAGGGCTCCCGGTGGTGATAGTCCGGATTCGAATCGCCCCGATGTTCGACATAGGATGCACCTGTCTGTGATGGTCTTCAGTTGCTTGGAGCAGCCTCAGTCAGTCGAAGTCGGTGAAATTGTGTCGGGCTATGTGGGCCCGCTAAACTTTGCTTTGAAGTCCTTCCAACAACACGGAATTTCCTGTCCAAACAGTGGAGGTCTGGGCCTGTGTCAGGAGCTCTGCTGATCGCAGGCTGTTGCCTCGTCAATCCATCCATGCAAGACATTCGAAATAAATTTATTTGATCCATGTGTGTGCCCCAAAAGATAGTTACCTAAACTGGAAGGAATAGGACAATTGGTTAATCATTGTAAGGCTCAGATGTCTGTCACTGAAATAGGGTTGAGTGTCAAGTACAAACCAGGTTCGCATGAACTGCCAACTTGTGGGGTAGCGAGGCTAGACTAGCTGTTGTGTTCACGCGGGAACGGGCCTGAGCTAGATCTACTCAGGAGCGGGGCTTGGCCAGCCGCGCCTGTCGGTTCATGCAGGAGCTGGGCTTCTTCAGCCGTTCTCAAAGAACAGGGCTGGGCCAGCCGCCCAGTTTTATTGGACTGGGGAAGCCGCTCAGTTTTCTGGGGCTGAGCCAGCCACCACGGGTGCTGGGTCGGTCGCCCGGTCAGTCTCGGGTGACTGGGCGGCGCCTTTGGGTGCGGTGGAGCCGGGCTCCGAGCGAACAGATGGTACATTGAATGGCCGTCGCACAGATGGCATGACTTTATAAGGGACTAAGGAGATGGCGAATGTAATAGAATAATATGCCGCACCCAACCCTCTTTCGTTTTCCGGTCGGCAATACCTTTTGCGTCACCTTATGTAAAGGACTGAATACTGATCAAATTTTAACCCGAGCCTGTGCGGCTATGCCCAAACGTTAATGTCGCCAGGCGGCGGTCGCAGTGCACACCGTTACGTAGGTATGCGTCATTATAGCCGATGAACATGAAACAACACCTACATCAGAAATGTGCTGTCTGTCCCCGTTTGTTTTTAAGCATTCTCTGATAATTTATTCCTTTTTCTGGCATTGTTTGTGACATTGGAACAGCGCTGACGACACTGTCCATCCGTCGGTCCGTCTGTCTGTATCTGTGTCACCAGCCGGCTGGTTGGCTATGGGTCTGACCGGTGGGGTGTCTGTGACTCTGTGGTGCTGCCCGTGACACTAATCGTCCGTCTCATCCCCTCAGCAGCCACCACGCCAGCCACCACAGCAGCCACCACAGCAGTCATCACAGCGGTCACCACGCCCGCCGGCCGGCGGCCTTCTCGGAGAAACTGTGCCTGCAGTGGTTCAGAGAGTATACCACCGCCGACGAGCCCGACCTGCTCGGTAAGTCGTGGTCAGACACACTCGGTAAGTCGTGATCAGACACACTCGGTAAGTCGTGATCAGACCGAGCAGGTCGGACCGACGAGCCCGACTTGCACGGTAAGTCGTGGTCAGACACACACTCAGAGGCAGACAGCCGTGAAAATTCCTGTACGTTCACAGACCAGCGAAATGTGGTCTTACACAGACATGATCTCAGATGGAGACTTGGACTGGTGTGACCGACTCACCATCGACTGGTGAGTCGATGGCATATGCAGATCATTAACTAAAGACAGTTACACACAACCCACACACACACTGCACAGGTAAAGGCGGACAACGGACAGAAAATAGATACATACTCAGCACAGACGGTACCCACGTATAGTTGCAGTTTTTGTACGCGAGTATAACCACCAGATCCCGTCCATATACCTAGCAATACACACATACACGGATGTGCTGCTATAAGACCATCATTGATACCGTTTGTCGACACGTATGTTCATTGATTCGATCGGTGTGTTACCTTCTTTGTCCACTGTATGCAACTGATCATCAGTTGTCGCTCATTGAGCTGGTTAGGGTACCACCAGTGCTCTATAAGCAGCTCACCAAGAGCAACCACTGCTATATTGTTAACGCGACACAACCGACGGCTGACGGGCTGAAAAGCTGCGGAGAGTCCCGTTTCCGTCGCCGCTGCTCTGAACGGGGGACGGTGAATGACAGGCTACTCACTGTACGCACTAAGTGGTGAACAGCCGCACGGACAGCTGTGAGGCTATTCACCGTCTCAAATGGCTTAGTTGTTATATCCAGATACCAGATTAACCGAGCTAGTGTTGAGGGTGGGATTCTACTGCATCGTTAGCTTTTCGCCTGCCTGCGCAGTGCGTACATCCTTACCGGGACAGTGTAACGACGGCTGCGGTGGTGGCGCTACAAATTTAACGTAAACTGCATCTCTCCCTAACTCTCTCCTCTCTCCTCTCTCTCTCTCTCTCTCTCTCTCTCTCTACTCCTCTCTCTCTCTCTCTCTCTCTCTCTCTCTCTCTCTCTCTCTCCTCATCTCTCTCTCTCTCTCTCTCTCCTCTCTCTCT